GTGCTATAACGTTTTTTACGCGTAACTGCACCATCGAATCTAAATTATGGTTTCGTAGATCAAAATTTACTATTTAAGGATACCTAAGTTGATCTTAGAACTTCTCTTTAAATAGGACAGATTCAATCAGGTAACCAATCATACCTAAATAAAAAAGATTGATGACAACTCATCTAATTCATGTCTAGTAATAAATCAATGGATCTATACATTATAACAATTAGGAGAATGAAGTATATGAGACAATTTTTTTTCTTTATTTAATGCCCAAAAGAATAGAAGCTTCTATTTTATTTTTGGATTGAAACTAGAAATGCACAATATTATTTTATTTCCCTAATTATATAGAATATAAATTTTTTTTAAAAATTATACAGATAAAAGTATATCACATACAATTATTGTAATAATTTAATATTATGTAAAATTTATAAAAAATTTATATAAAACTCACACTTTTAAGTGATAAATTTTTACATAATTCTTTATTATAATTAAGTAATTACGATATTATAATAAAGAAAATTGTGAGTGAAATGCTCTTTAGATGGATAAATCTAAACATATAAATAGTAAGGAACTAGATAGATATGAACCCTAAGTACTCTCATCCTCGATGGATATAGGTCTACATTGATATGCAGCATATCTTTTGAAAAAATGAAGAAACGTGGTTCACATTTGAAGAAAAAAGTGAGAGATGGCCCTCCAAACTCCAATCTCAAAGTTAGGTAGTATAAGAATTCATATGTTTTATTTATAGCAAACAAAATTTGATGTCATTCATGTTTGAAGAGTTGTTTCCTACCACCCAAGCAAGTTTCATGTACATACTTATCTCAAATTTAAGATCACGTACATAAAAAACTGACCTATACAAATTAAATGTTGTACCCACCTCAAAGATGCATATATAGCCCGACATCGTGGCCAAGTGCTGATGGTATCCGATATATTGTACAACATCAATTAATAGTAGATTTAGTAATTTGTGTATTTATATCATATAAAATATTAATAATTTATGTATTTATATTATATTTTATATAAAAATTATATATTATAATTTATATTGACATGAAAATATAAAATATATTTTTTAAATTTTATTAAATCTATTTACAATTTTTACTAAATTTTTAAATCGTGCCACCTTTATATTTTTATTCGTATCGCTTTTTTGTTGTGTCACCATATTATGTTTGAAATTGTTAGATCTAGTTAATAGTTGATAATGAACTATTATGTAGATGGCATCTAATATAAAATGAATAAAATTGTTTGAATTATTATAAGAGTTTCTGCACTATAATAATAGTGTAGAATGGTCAAGTTAACAGACAATGCTTGATGGTTGAGTTCATGTACATGCTTATGATGCGATACATCACAAATCGTTTTCAACCCTATGACTAATTTGCTAATTATAGACAATAATTCTTGGTGGAAATTGACAGAAAAATTGACATCTCCAGCATGATTTTCAATTTAGAGAAGAGGATACTATATAGCATGAACACTCATGTATAAACATATCAATTTTATCCATATTCAATGAGAAATCTGATTTTTTATCCTAAAAAAAATGGGGATGAGTATTAAATTATGGGAATGGGGATGTAGATGAGTATAATTTTAAATTTTTATTAGGTACATGGATAAGATGGTTAATATAGCATACATTCCGTATTCATAACCTACATATATATATATATATATTTATTTAGTAAATAAATTTTTTATTAAATAATATAAGTTATTATTTTAGATTAATTAGAACTAATATATATTTTTTGAATTTTATTTATTAATATATATTTATAAAAAATTATCTAAATATACAAAATAAAAATAAAAAAAGCTAAAAATTTAAATTAGATTATCTATACCCATTAAATACCTACGGTGATAGAGATAGATTTAAAATATCTATTGATTATGAGAATGAAAATTAGTATAATATAAAAATATGGGAATGGGAATAAAAAATGCTCTATCCTCCTCATATCCTACTCATTGATATTATGAAGATTTATAATTATGAAGTTAATGGGGGAAGAAAAAAAGGAATGAAAGCACCATTTTTTTAACAAAATAAAGAAAACCAATTATTCAAATAGTTTCTTTGGGAAATCAATTATTTACATAAATTTTGCCTCTAGAAGACACTAATATGTATATACACTAAAACATTTGTTGACTATCATCTTAAATGAGAATCATTAAAAGAGAGGTGAAAATGATATCTGGGTTACATGCTAGAAATATTTGGTTTATACTTTCCTTGTAGAAAGGTGAAAAAGATAATGGCATGCTAAAGTTTATGTTCTTCCCTCATAGCCAACTAATTACGGCCTATATCCTCCATTAATGATGTGAGAATTTCCTCTTCAATGTTGCTTTTGGACGTCATTGGTCCATAGTAAATTTTCTTTCAAAAAGGAAAATGATTGAGATTAGGAAAGAGGATAAGTGGGGGTCTTGAGAAACAGGAATATATATATATATTTCAACAATAATTTTCATCCAAACAGGATATTTCAATAATATCGATCCTTAACGCATACATGATCTGTTACAGGAAAGCTTTGAAAAAAAAAATGAAGGATGAGGAAAATTTTACCAATCTTACATTTGCAATTTTTTTTAGCTATATATAGTTGTTTCTGGATAAGCTTTTACCCTTCATTTATCTCTTCTTGTGGAAGAAACAATAACGAAGTGTTATTGATGAGACTGAAATCTTTAGGAATGTATTATAAAAATCATCTTTTACATATTACACGCGTTCATGGGTGGATTGAGTTTTGAGTAAACTAAAAGTGTCAATTCGAGTGCGATTTGATTTATGAACACTTCTATATGATATATTGCAAAAAATTAAAATATTTTAAATAAAATTTTTATATAAATATTATATGTATCTAATAACTGTTAAAAGAGATTATAAATTTTATATTAGTTATTCTATATATAAATATAATGAATTATTATAATATATTTTTTAATTTTACAAGTGGATTTAATTAAAAGATTGACATTATTTATCAATAATTTTAAAAAATTATTTATTTAATTATGAAATAAACACGTGACCAATATATGAGTTTCTTTGTAAAACTAAAAGAATTTTACTATTGGAATATAAAACAATAATCCTTAAAATATTAATTTATAGAAAAAAAAATATTGCTTATTGTGGTCTTTTAAATGTGCTTTTTGACCTTTTGTACCAAAAATTGAATCATCACATCTACGAGGCACTAAAGGGGTGATTAAGGAATCGGGTGCACTACCATATTCCCAAAAGTCTATGAAGAAAAAGAAACCATGATATATGCTACCATAATGGAAAAATATCAAACAATCCTTTACTAAATTCTTATTCTTAATAATTTCCTTTTCATTGTTTTATCAAAGTGTATTAGAATAAATCTTTTTTGCCATACATAGCATACCCTTTTTTTTTTTGAAAAATTAGCATTTTTTTTATTTTAGTTTATATTTAATATATTATAAATATATAAACTTGATATATTTCAAGTATATAATTATTAATAAACAGATAATATCACTTTTATTAATGAGCAAATATTAATCTTTAAAATAAATGTATAAAAATTAATATTTTTTAAAAAATTATTTATTAACGAGATGGTATCATTTAATTCACTTCATTAATAAAATAATATCATTTAATTTATTAACCGTATATTAAATCTATACACTGATAATATATTAAATAATAATTTTTTCATTTGTACATATCCATATCTTAACTCATGTTGCATATACTCTTGAATTATATATATTATGTTCAATTTTTACAATCTCATCAGTCCTTATTAATTGAAGAATAATTAGTCTTGTTTATTTGATGAACTATCAATCATCTAGTATGAAACATATTATATATAAAAGAGTAAATTGCACCCAACATCTATGATCTTTCTTCATGTAATTATCATTTTCATTGTCTTTAACTTTTAGGTTTAGTAGTTAAAGAGTTTGGAGGAGGATATAAAGGTTACGGGTTTAAATCACGATCTCCCCTGCTTTTCTCATAAGTTATGCCTACCCTATGTAACCAAAAATTATCATTTTCATTGGCAACTTTTAAAAGTTTTTCAAATTCATCATTTACAATTTTGAAATTATTTTTTAATATAATATAATGTTTATTTACTTTTTGTCATATACCTTTTTCGTATATTAATTAATTGTCGGTAAGTTCTTCATTTTTGTTTTGAAAAATTTCACATGAAATTATATTTGTTTTCAATTTGTGATTCCACCACACTAGAATCTTGGGTTAATAAAATACAAAGATAAGGAAGAAGATTTAGCATCCAATTCGAAGGGCTCTCTTCTCCCACTCATGGCGCAACACTTTTGATCAGAAATTAGAGAACAAATTTGGAAAATTAAGAGTTCTAGAACGGTTAATTTGTTCAATTACCAGCTTGCCCTTTACATTAAATTTTGTAATAATAAAATAGTGTTGCTTTCTCGAATTAAGCTTACTATTTTGGTAATTTTATGTCAGATTCTTATGCATTTCTTGCTTTAATTATTTTATGCCAGAATTACTATTTTTTAGCCAAAAAAAAAAAAAAAGCAAGTCTACGGGGATGGCAGGTGTAACCTACTCTTTGAAAATAACAATGGCCAAGAAAAGAAAATAATATAATAAATTAGATTAATAAAACTGTCGCCATCTGAATTAATATTCTAGATTTGCTCCAATAATCTTACCTAAACCTTGAGAATTTGAGGATATCAAACATATATTCCCCGGAATGTAATGACGGATATTGTGCCATTGAAACCACGTTCAATTTATTGATCACACAAATTAATATTTACATAATTGAGAAAAAAAATCCTAATGGTCATTAATGCTTTCCCTACTATGTTTTTTTTTTTTTTTTCCCCTTTTTATGAACTTTCCCTACTAGTTAGTTACATGATGTGATGTTGTTGGCATTGTTGTACAATATGCAGATGTTAAAGCAAGATTCAAAATCCCATATCGTCGAAACGAATCCTTTCTTCCCTTTTTTGTCAGAGGAGACTGATACTAGAAGTAGTTTGTCCAATAATATCAAGGAAGTTGGAAAGTGGAAAAACAAAGGCAAATGGAACATGTATATAACTTTTAGGGTCACATATGGAATTTCAGATGGCTTCTAAACAGTAGACATGATGACATGATGATAAACTTGCACTGATGGTAGAGGGGCTGGTTGTTGTTACATTTAAACAGTAATCAAGCGAAAAGAACAACCTATTTGATTTCAATCTAGTGCAAGTAGAATAAACTTCTTGGGACCTGTTTTTAACTATGGCAAAGCTCTTAAAATGGGGGAATTTCGACTACATCATTGGCCGTCAGTTTCAGTTTTCTCGAAAGGGCCAAGTCTATGATCAGCCAACCTTGACTTGTACGCAGAAGTCTTGTATTCCGACCATGTGAACTCCTTGTACAAGTTCTCTTCGCCTTTTGCCAACAGGGAGGCTAAAGGCACTATCCTTTCATTCAAAGGTGGTGCTCCAAAATAGATCATTGAAACTCTTGATTTCAATGAGTCTGCCAACACCCTATGCCTCACACTTCTCAGCCGTCCGTTAGTCATTACCTGTCTCAACACAAAATCAATCGACATCCAAATCAGAAAAGTTGGTTGCAAAGAAAAGTGTTGACTAGAATTTGACGCAGGCCCCAGGAGATAAGAGAGGGCAGTGACAGATAAACCAAGACTTTGTTTGATATTTCTCTTTCCTCTAAAAGAAAATAAAAGAAGAAAATTTAAAAGACTGTTGACATTATAACCTGCAAGGCATCACCAACATTGATAAAAAAGGAGCTCTGATCAGGTGGGACTGAAACCCAAGTTCCATCTCTCAGACATATTTGCAGGCCTGATGTGTTGTTGGATCTTAGGACAGAAATTATCTGCGGGTCTGTGTGCTCCCCAAACCCAATCAAATTTCTACCACTCAATACCGGTAGCTCTGGGCAAGGTGGATAGTGGTTTAGCCTGAAACATGAGTCACTCTTCTCATCTCTTAACAGCCTACTCAACATATTCTTAGGCTCAATTTTCAGACCATCAGCCATCAATTCCAGTACTTCAAATGCCATTCTCTTCACTGCCAGGATATAGTCATTCACAGCAGAGCTGCTTCATCAAAATGCCAAAATTAGTGTAACAATTTTATTGAAGACGTTAAAGCAAACGATTATTCAACACTTAAAACTCTCATGACAAAGCTTAACTTTCCTTGTTTTTAAAATCTTGAAACGAAAAGGAAGGTGTATTAAGAATTAAAAAACTGTTCTCTGTAAGCAATTTTACCGGAAAATTTCAGGGTTTTGTCGGAAAATGGTAAGAGTTTTGAGGGAGGTGACTTGAGGATTGGTATTGAGAAGGATATATTCAATCCATCCCACATCACCATTTGATCCAATTCTCTTGCTTCCATAGCCAAAAGGGTCAGGAGGACCAGCTTTGTCTTTCTCAGACTGGGGGAGATTAAAGAACCTGAAAGCCTCAGCCTCCAATCTGGTCATGAATTCCATTGGAACACCATGATTAACCAGCTTGAAGAAGCCATACTCCTCACAGGCCTTAACTATGAGGGTCTTTGCTTCAGGGTCCCTCAGGTCTATCACTGGAATTTCTTTGAAAACACTGGTAGGCTTGCATGTTTTGATCAAAGAGCAATGGTCTAATGCTGCAGGCTGTGACAGGACAACCATGGTCGTTAGTCCACAGACAAAGAGAAATGAACAGAAAGACAGAAGACGAAAAGAGGGAAACGAGAGAAAGAGGAGAGAATAGGAATGGGGAGATTGGAGCGAGGGATTGATGGTATTTAAATACGCAGACAGGTGAGGATTCCGGGACTGCACGAATCACAGAAAGAGAAACGGCAGAGGCGTTACCAACTATAGCAAGGAGCCATCTGGCCTTGTGTCTGCTTGGCAATTTATGCTATCGAGGGGAGAAATGAGAAGGAAATTTCTTTTATTTTCTTTCCACTTTTTATTGATTTAATTTTTTCAAGAAATGGAAAATCAACCACAACAATAACATAAAAAATTAGTATTTGTGTTTGTGGGACTTGGCGGATCTTTTTTTTTTTTTCTTTCTGCCTTCTCACTGTTGTGGTGGATTAACTAAAGGACCATCTGAAATTTGCAAAATCCAATTATAATTTTAAGATAGGGCATGTTTGTTTTGACCTGCTGCTGATTTTACCTATCATTAATAAAGGGAAATTCTATATACAATTAAAACATGGTAAAACAAAATCCAAATCTTTGATTTACTCCAATCCCCTTTTGCAAATTTTTTCAATGTTTCACATGATAAAGGGAATGTGACAGAGCACCTACATGATACCATCATTTGTTTCTATTCTTTTGCCTAAGTATTCAATAAATTGAGTCACTTTCCAAAAACACGAATAACAATATTTAATTTTTAAATTTAATAAAAAATAATTAATTTAATTCAATTAATTTATATAATTATTTTTATAATATGATATTTAATAAATTTAAATTTTAATATTTACGATTTCCTTGTAATGGAAGGGGTAGCTGTCATTGCATATCTTTACACTTCTTTCTTTTATGATTGGGGAACAAAATGGTCTATTCAAGAAGATTCTTTAATTAATTGGACGTTGGTTGGTTTTTCTTTTACAATTTATTGAAGGGAAGAAAAGAAAAGCTCTCTATCTAAAAAGGTTAATAAATAGATATATATTTTAGGATTTGGATTATCAAAATTGAATTTAAATATTAAAATTAAAAAAATTTAACACGATATCAACACACCCACAGGTGTTATTTCATCGAAGCTTCAATTTGTAAATTTTCTAGCTACGAATTAGAATTAATTAATAAAATCTAGAAGATTAGAGATAATTACTTTGTTATTATATAGTAAGAGTCTAAAAAGAACAACTAATGATGGAAAAATTAATTTAAAAAAAGTTGATTACATTGGACTTGATAGAACATGTCAATATTATTGTTAAACTCAAGTTGGTAACTTTGAACGTGCTAAAGGAAGTCAATAGCCCATTTCAAATAAAATTTCATAAACACTAAAAAAATGAATGCCTTAGAGAAATGGGCAAAGGATTTTGAAGAAGTCTAACAGGTTGCCCCCATGGAAATTGTTTATTAAAAAACCAAGAAGAAAAAAAAAAAGTGGGTTTCACTGGATAAGACCTAAACATAGTTTTTAAAGTTGAAAAAAAGAAAAAGAGCAAATTGGCTTGATTTTTAAAAATATACAATATATATGAACAGAAGAAAATAAAATTAGGTGGTTTTTGGTATTATTTTTGATATTATCATAGTAATTTAATTATTGAGGTTATCTTATTATTAATGTGATTTTATCAGTCGTAATATGAAATTAATTTGTTTAGTTAAAAATCATTAATTTTTAGTAAGTAAAAATTATTATATTTTATATTATTAAAAATTAGACATTATTTTATTTGAAAGTTATAATAGTTATACAAGTTAATGATTTTAATATTATTTAAAGATAATAACTTGTATGTAAAACATTAGTAATATTTTATTTACTTCATAATAAATATAATTAAATTATTAAATTAAAAATATATTTGTTGATGGGAAAATAGTTTTTACAGTATAAATTATGTAAAAAATATTTGAATTAGAAAATAAAATTAACATATTAAAACAAAAAGATTATATTATAAATAAATTTTAAAAAATTAAAAATATATCACAAAATATTTTTAAACTTGTTACAATAAAAATTAATTTGAAAATACAAAAATTATAATATAAAATAATAATTAATTTGAAGAAAAATGTAAAATTTTAATTCACATATTAAATATATATTATTCACTATTATTAATTTTACATGTCACTTCATCTTAGTGATAAAAATTTATCACTCCTTTAGATGTGAATTAAATCACCCTTCAATATAATAATTTAATTATTTTCAGTAATTCAAGATTATCATCACATAAAATCGATCAGTAAGTAATTATCAAATATAATGATTTAATCAATATGTGTGAATTATCATAATTTTTTAAATGATTATCTTATATCAAACACTACTTTAAGAAAAAAAGAAACGAATAGGGTCCTATTAATTCTTACTAGGATTTTTTTTTTTTGTGTATTTGGCATGAGTTTTTTTTTTTTTTTTGAAGTTCTTAATCTATTTTTTAATTTTTTATTTTACTAAATATTTAACTAAACATGATATTACACATTTAAATTTTTTAAAATTCATAATTTTTAAATATCAATTTTAATAATCTATCAACTTATTGAAGGGATAGTGCCTTAAATTGAGAGACCCTTTATCTTGGTGAAAATGTCACGTACTGCGCTTCATTTCTGAAAAAATTGGAATGGATAAAATTAACTTTTCCTTTCTTTTTTTTTTTTTCTGTATAAAAAACGGCGGGTTTTCGTTGACCGATTGCCTTCCAACAACATTTTGAGAATTGAATCAATTGCCTTCTCATAAGTCAAATGTATTACAAAGCAATTTGAGTTTAAAAAGCGAATTAGTTCTTCCATAAAGTGATTTACAGTCGAATCCCAATTGTTTTTTTTTTTTTTTTTGAGAATCTCAATTTTTCTTCATTTGATAATTGACTCGTAAGTGTTTAATTAAATAATTTTTTTTCAAACGAAATGCTTTAATAATCCATGCCAATAATTTTGTGTATCTCCCGTCTTCAAAAAAATTAACGAAATCACTTCAAGAACGCTTTTGATATTAAGAGGTTGCAGAACAACCATAGAACTCTGTTCAATAAGTGAAATGCATTAGCTGTCCGCTCGCAAATTGGACAATAAGGGTTGGAGAATGAGCTTCACTAAATTAATGATGGTTTTTTTTTTTCTTTACAAAAATTAAAATAAATCTTCGAATCTTTTCTTTTTTTTGTTGTTATTGTTAAGAGAATAAATCATTCATTTTGGCTTATTAACTGTATATTGTTTGAATTTAAAAATTGAATTGTTTCTTAAAATAATATCAGCTTTTTTACAAAGTGATTTAGAGACGAATAATCTCAATTGTAGGTTTTTCTTTTCAAGAATCTCAATTATTCCTATTTTGATAATTGATTTGAATGAGCTTAATTACTGAAATGGTTATCTTTAATTTTTTCTTTTAATTTTTATGCAAACACAATAAAAAAATAATTTTATTTCCTTTTATTCTTTTATTCTTTTCTCATCTTTTTCTCTTCCTTCCAAACATAGCGTAAGTGCCCACTAATTTCCCTAGAGAGGCATCTTCCTCTATTTTTCATTGTAATGCAGCTATTGCTATTGAATGTGACGTGTACCGTATTCTACAACGTTGTTCTCATTCTCTTACAAGACGTATCAAAGTTTAACGGTCTTAAGGGCACGCATATTTGACATTCCCAATGTTTTATTAGAAATATTTAAAGAATAAATAGCATCTACAATCTTTAAATTTTAGAACGAATATCGTTTTAATTTTTAAATTTTAAAAAATTAATTGTTAGTCTTTCTACTTGAAAGTCATAATATTTTAATCCTTTTGTAAATTTAAGCCATGATTTTGTTAGAGATATTTTTTAGTCCAAAAAACATATTGGTAATCTCCCTAGTTAAAGACTATCAATAGACAGCAAGTGACATTTTATATTTTCAAATCGATCTAACATATTAGGTTAACTTGACATATATAATGTCATATCAATTTTGTTACGTCATTATTTCGTTCTATAGACCAATGACATTTTGTATTTTTGAATCGATCCGACATGTTAGGCTAACCTAACATATATAGTGTCACGTTAACTTGATTACATCATTATTTTGTTATACAGATTCTTCACTTTCTACTTATAAATAAAACCATTTAGTTACTATCAATGCAATGTATTATTTATTTTTATATATTTTTTTCTCTTCTCCTCTTGACCTTCCCTATACCAATTTTTGACTTAAGTCTCGAAGTACAAAAAACACTCTCTACCTTTGCCCTCACCGCTTTCTTTCCTTTCTTTTGATTTCAAGGTTTTGACCCTTAGAGCTCAATATTAACAGATTCTTTTACAAAAATTTAAAAAAAATAATTTTGAAATTTAAAAAAATTTAAAAGAAGCTTCTCCTTTGCTCAAAACGGCACTGTGTGTGCTTAGATTGAAGTGTTTCTTGACAAATACTATAATGCTTGTAACAGTCAGAACCAATAATTAAAGTATGTCTCCATTCCCTTGGCCATGGCATGGTCTTATGGAACCTGAGTTCGTAATATTCGAAGCCCTAAATTGAAAAACATCCTGTCATCTTTAATTTTTCTTAGATTAGGATGGTGGCCATTTCCCTCACTTATTTAGGTCAGGATAGTGCCCATTTTCTTAAAGAGGAATCTTCCTGTGTGCTCATTGTAATGGAGCGATTGCTTTTGAATATGGTGTGGACTTTATAGCCTTTTTTTTTCCCCTCCTTTTATTGCTAATGTGCTTAACTTCATATGAGTGACTGCATTTAATTTTTAAAACAATTTAGATTTGATCAAAATTTAGGGGTTCTAAGGAAAAATCTCAACGAGTAATAACTTGAAAATCTTAACTTGAGGGTTTCTATTTATTCTTTTTTTTTTTTTTTGCATCAAACACTTTTTGATGTACATATAGTAAAAGAAATCATTAAACAAACAAAATCAATAGAAAAAGGCAAATTACATGTTTAGTCACTTGATTTTAAATGACTTTTTTTATCACTTAATTTTTCGAAAATTTCTATTTTAATCATCCAATTTTAAAAGTTCACCATTTAGTCATTAGATCACCTTGTTCCATGGGATCATTTTTAAATCCTTTAAAAGTAAATCAAATGTTATGAGTAGGAAAGCACGATTGAATTTGATTTGATTATTGTGGCATCATCGAAAGGGAATGGAACATCCCAT